TCTTCAGGCGGCCAAGAATTCACTTGCTTTAACCGCCTGCCTGGTGATCTAACAAAAGCCCATACTGAGAAAAAAATATGAAAAACTGGCGCAAATTGAAACTTTCACAGCGAATACCTTAAGCGTGTCACATTTAGTTCCGCAACTTTAACGCATTAAGTGTAGAAATTTCCTAATAAGTAGTGTTTTTGTCTCTGTAGACCATCAAAATGCGCGAATCTTATCTGATTAGGAAGGAAAGTTGAGCAGCTTTTCCCGCATGCATTGCAAAACAATCCCGATTACTTACAGTGTAGGTAACTAAAGACACCCCAACTCCATTGCTGTGGTCGCCCCGATATAATCCGAAACTGGCAAGGGGACTCACACTGGCCACTGTTAACACCATCGAAGCACATTAAATCACACTTGGCATTATCGCACAAAAGGCAAATCAGACAGACGTGAAGAGCATCTATGGACGAAATAACTGAAGATTCAAACAGCAGAAGCAGCAAGGTGAAGCGGGTGAATTGCTGCTGAAGTCACTGGAAGACTCAGCTGAGTGGTTAAATGAAGATTGCATAAAACAGCTCGGACAAACTATAGCTTCCGCACTCAGTTATCAACTTGTACGCTCTCCGCTCTCAAATTTATTGAGCACAAGTTATATCCATGATAAATTGGCTGCAGCTGCAGCATTGGAAGTAGTCGAGTAGGGCTTGAAGATTGCTGAAGAAAACAAGCAGGAGCAACTGAAACTTAACCGCTCATAATGAAACATCTGCCGTCTTTGCCTGATATGATAACAGCCGACACGAGAGGTATTCACCAAACCGTAAAACCACTAGAAGTAAATGCCGAACACTTACTTACATTAAGGGGCACACTGGGGGAAATAAGTGGGTACAAACGAGATGGCCTGAAGATACCGAGAAGAAGAGCGTCGTTAGATCAACAACGGCACGGACCAGTTTTCAACTAATCCCGATCATAATCATAAATCTCCAAGCTAGGCCATGCGCCTCCGCGCTTCAAAGCCCATTACCAAGGTGGGGTACATCTATGGGCGTATGTACGTATATTTAATCAGAATGGCATAAGAGGTAAAAATAGCGGACTGGACCCATGTGTAATTTGTCACTCGGTCTACAGCCCAGCAGACAGATAAATAGAACGTCTTAGCACAACAATCATAGAGCGCGAAGAGTTATTGGTGCAGATTAGGGTTCGGATGAGAATTTACATCTGGCCTAGTGTGTTCATGTGGAGCTATTGCTGGTAATTGCCAGCATCAACACTCAATGGTTTATTGATGTAACGCTATCAAGCTTATGGCCTATTGAGACATCACACCAACAGCGACAATTATTATGCAATGAAAATGTAACTACCTTGAAACGAATAAACCATGTGGGCGACTCTTCCTAATAAAAATTCTAAAGTGTCACGGGTGTATAACAATTTTCAATGTAGGCAGTTATAACTGACGATTTGCGTTTCTATCTAAGAGTATTTGGATGGCCATCATTAACCCAACACGCTGTACATCAGGTACTGGCCATTAACGTGTGGATTAATGTTCAAAGTGCCGTCGAGGATGGTGTTGATATGAACCGATTTTTCAATTCTTCAATAAAATCAGAATACTTTCTCTTCTTAAACGCTTCTATTCTAAGGTGCCGAATAAGACATTGTATATTTGGATTTCCCGTTCTGACTCTTTAGCTTGTACTTTGTTTGTGGTGGATTTTGCAACTAAAAAAAACCACGCAAATCTATAACTTCTTGAATTCAAGCACTTTTTGAGAAAACTGCCAACATTTCCTTATCGATGGTTCACTTGCTAAAAATGCCATTTATTTCTGTCCAGGATGATGTACAAATGAGCGTTCTTGCTCATTTTGCCTTCGAGAAATGAGCAAAAACGGGACGGAAAACATGAAATTTCGGCATAATCTTGCACCTAAGTGTCTGATATTCAAATTTCGCTTGCTGGGTCAAAACTACTCGAATTTCCTCACTCACGTTGTTACGACTGAATCG